TTTTATGAATCAACAGCTGATGTGATATTTGAGCACTTGCTCTTCCAATTCACTCACTAGCTCTGTGGGAGTTTGTGAGGAGACAGTTGAATAAAAACAAACAATACACACATCATTCTTTTTCTCAAGCTTCTCCTGTAATGCCTTCAGAAGATCTCAGATCTAAAAGATCTCAGTGATGCAGGGCACATGAAAGCAACGTAGGTGCATTCAGATGACACATTAACACGCTACTGCAACCAACCTTTGCCAAACAATAGTACATCTGTTTACACCACGGCGCACCGCACCCCTTGAAAGAGTTCATCCTTAACCAAATGCCGTGTGCAACTGTCAGTCAGGTTTACCCTTGTTGCTAACTCCCTCTTCAAATGATGCACTGCAATGAATTTCATCCCAGAGTGGCCATCCAGAGCAGCAGGGCTACTTCAGATTGCCTCCTCTCTGTGGGGTATAATGGGGAAAAGGGCACCTCCGGATAGCCCTGCAACAGGATTCCCTCTAAGCTGCTAACTGACTCAGGGTTTTTACAGTAAGTGAGGGAAGGTTTTTGTGGGATGCTTTGCTGGAAATTCACTAAACGCTGCTGCAAACATTACAAACTACACACATTCAAACATACAGTATACACTAAGAGGCTGACACTAAGACAACACGCTGTCTACATGCAGTTATAATCAAGATACACTTTTTGTGCAGTTGTGTAGTTTTTGTGTAGTCAAGCTAAAGTCTGTCTGTCCGAGCATACGACACAAAGCATAATAAAAATTTTGCACTGAATACCTGTTCAAGTCACAGAGGCCAACTGGAGTCTGATTAATGTGCATGCATTACAGTTCAAATGTGTGGGTTTGGTAAGATTAAAATAAATAAATAAATAAAAAGTCTCATGCTCACCCAGGCTTCATTTATTTAGTCAAAAGCACAGGAAAAACAGAGGAACAAATAGCATTTATTTGAGCATTGCAACATTATAAAAGTCTTTAGTGTCAATTTGATGTTTTTTTTATCAATTTAATGCATCCTTGCTGTAAAAAAAAAAGAAAGAAAAAAAAGAAAAAGAAAAATCTTACTGACCCCAGACTTTTGAATAGTAGTGTAGATGCTGGACAAAGCTGAGCTAAAATCACATTATGGTATGTTCATCAAGGTCCAAAAAAGAAAAAAGAAAAAAGATTGTTAAGATTTCAGTCAAGCTAAAAAGTGTACAATCCGAAGTTGTGACAGACTTCACCACCATATTGTGATGTACTTCCCAGTGAAATGGCTTTCAAAATAGAAATAAAAGTAAGGTGGTGCTTGATTTTATCATTTGATGATTGGATTGTGAATACCAGTTTCATACCAGAATGGCAGATCTAAATGCGACTGGCTTATCTGCAACATGTTCTGGCCTATGTCAGCAGAGAGTCATTTCACAGGAAGAGCAAATTTTCATGAAATTTGATTAAATATTACAAGGTAAAAAAAACAAACATTTTTTTTGCACAGATTAATGTTCACAATAAGACAAGTAACATGCATTAAAGAAAGCAGGGTAGATTTTGATTTGGTTTGAAAAAAAAAAAGTTTAGACTGACTGAAATCAAACTTTTCAAAGAACATGTGGACTGGACACACTTATTGCATCACTCACTCTTATTTTTTCAGTTCCAGTGTTGCTAGATTCAGCAGGAAACAGTTCAGGTCTGCGTGGAATGTGATATGACAGAGGGTCATTTCATATAATCCAGTCAGGGCTCATTTTGTTACCCTGGTGACATGTCTGTTTATGGCTGTCGGAGTTCCAACACCCTTCTGCCATATTCCTACCAACACTGAAGATTCTCTCTTCCAGACCGTGATGAGCCTTGAATGAAAGGAACTGTGTTTGAACAGAATAACAAAATGGCTTGTTGCGTAGCGAAAGAAAGAAAGAGAGGCATGAGTTAAACTTTCACATGAAGGTGGATTAACAAAATACTTCTGTGCGCGCGCGCACACACACACACACACACACACACACACACACACACGATGACACACACACACACACATTCAGAGTTCTGCTGATCAAGCCACCCTGCTGTGGTCAGAGACTTGAAGCAGGCTCTCTGTGTCTCTCTGATGTTTCAGCAAAGAAAGAGGGATGAGAGATGAGAGGGAGGTGCGGAACATGAGCAGCAGAAAGCAGAGAGAAAAGATGTAGGGGGTTCTTAACAAGACCTTAACTGTTAACCTTAAGTCTTACCAGAAAAAAATAATGAAATGTTTTTATCTTTTTCTGCCCCTTGTTCCTCAGCCTCTGCACTATTCTCGCTTTTAAAAAAGTAAAAAAATTGTGCCTTTGCTAGTCAATGGGGCAGTATACTCAAGATACACCTTTGTTCCTCATCTATCCATGTATGTACCCCTAAGATACTAATGTGCACCATTTGGGGGTACAAAGAGGTACTTTGAGGGTACTGCCCCAGCGACAACTAGGTACAGCTATTATAAAAAAATGTCTGACAGCGAGTCAGAGTCAAGCAGTGAAAGCAATATCCTACAGTTTAACATGCTATACTCCACCTAAAACTATATGAAAGAACATTTCTAATTGTTTTATATAAATTAATTCACAAGCATTTTAGGACCTTATATTACTATAGAGACATGGAATATTTGTGCTTAGTTATTTTAAAGGTAGATAGATAGGGCTACTTTTACACTGTTGCTGCGGGTTATTTTTTAGTCCGCGGGTTAAAGCGATACCCGACGGAGGGGAAAGCCACGGGAAAAAACGCGATTGGGCTAGTTTGAATAGCAATTGGGCTGGTTTTGTTTCGCAGACCCTGCAAAAGAGGGATATATATTTATTTTGAAATTTGCTTACACAAAGTAAACTGTCTGAAATACAAAAAAAATTTCTAATATCAGCCAATATTGAAAGCAATATTGGTAAAATAAATAAAGAAATATTATCAATATACTGGGCATCCTAAAATATACCAAATAAAATCCTAAAATACCAAATATACCAATATACTGGGCTTCCTAAAAAGAAAAAGATTAGTGTGATATAATAAATGCAAATAAAAAGAAAAACAAGTAACTAGTGGTAACATTGGATAGGTTCTTTATTGGCATCTATGGTTCTATAAAGAACATTTAACTATCCAATGCACACACGGTTCTTTATAGTGGAAAACTTTTCCTTAAATTATTAAAATGTTCTTCACACTAAGACAAAAATGGTTCTTTAAGAACTGTTTACTGAAAGGATCTCTGCAGAACCCAAAACGGTTATTGTATGGCATGAACCATGGAATGTAGGTGGTGATGTAAAGAAATGGTGGCATAGATACATTTTGAACACTTTAAATCATTACATTTCCCCTTGCACAAGAACATGCACACATGCACTGCTCAGCTCACTCAAGACCACCATTAATCCAGACTCTGATTGGTAAGTAATTCTGCAGAGCGCCATTATGCCCCAGCCGCTCAGCCCACTCCTGTGAGAAGCACAGCATGTTCACCAGCTCACTGGAGCTATGACCTCAGGCTTTGACACGGCGATCTGCCCCCACCACAACCCAGAGGCGCAAAATCTATCCCAACACCCTATTAGATATTTAAAACCAGCTAATCCCCTGCACCTACAGTATACATCTACAAGAAAAGCCACATTTCCTTATCTGCTGCATGCAATACATTCAGTGTCTGGAGAATGATCAGTGAGCCCTGTTGTTTGACCTCTGACCCCAAGGCTGGTTATCTTTGCCACCACACATGTCCCTGTCCCATCTATATTACATTTTCACAACCATAATTAACACCACTGAGCTTTTACATACGCCTTCTACAGGAAGAAATCAAGAGTGTGTGCCTTCATAAATATTTACAGTAAGACATTAAATTTTAACGTGTTGAAAATACTGTCCTACAAAACTTCCTTGTACAATGTCCTGTAAAGGTGAATCAGATGGTTGTGCTTATGAGCTACTTGGTGAGGAGCAATGACAATGTAATTGAAACCTCTATTATGGTTTGTTACTGATCAAAGGTCCAAATACAGAAAGTATTACAGTGTTAACACACGTACATGTAACGCACTGTGACTGCTTTCATCAAGAGTATGTCATACTTGTATAAAAGGTGGTGTATCCAAACGCACATATCCAGACATTTAAGAAATTGACATAAAAAAGGAATTAAAATAGACTTGCATTAGCTAAAATCACACTGGGTTTTACTTGAACTAGCTTTCATCTCCAAAATTTCAGAGGTTCTTTCAGAGCCTTTACTATTAAGTTATAATCTCAATAGGTATCAATAAAAACAAATCATGCCAAGCTCTTTGAAATGCAATGCAAGTAGCAGCAGGGTAAAACAACAAACATATTAACAAAATATGGGCAACATGTCAGTTATAACATTCAATATTTATATTTACATATAACAAGAAAACTCGATGGATTAAAGATGCATAGCCATTTCTAAAAGTGTATACTGTGGCCAGACACTGTGGAAAAGACGTGCTCTTATTGTGATTAATGAACAGAATTATTCCTGTCTGAAAATCTAACAAAGATGCATTAATCAATACTAGCCAGAAACAGCCTGTTGAAACACTTTCACACAGAACATCAACAGGCATAAGTGAGGTGCAAATGAACGTGTCTGGTCTTCTATAAGCATTTGGCTTCATACTGCTGCATTATAAGAGGCAATTCACCAACCACACAGCCTTTCATAGGTGAGCTCACCTGAGCCCATGCAAGCAATAAAGCAGCTTCAAAGAGTCCCTCTGCCCCCCGAATTATTTCTAGGCTACTTAATTTGGCATTTGGTGAATATTGTACCGCTGGCTCTCGATGATGAGCCGGAGAATTGAATTATAAACTATGAATGAGGCGCGCGTGATGTGATCGCTGACTCTGCAGTTGCCGGGGGTCACAAATGGCGCGTAATATCACCCCTCTGTTCAGGGAAAACTCGCAAAAATACACTATCGTTCCACAATAAAGGCAACTTACCGAGAATCCAGCCCAAAAGGGACACGAATGTCTCACCCTCGGGGATGTCGTGAGGGCCAAAGCGGCGAAACTGACAGCCAAAATGAGACTGCCGAGCACCATCTGTGAGACTCCCAGAGAAAGCATGATGCGAGTCCGGGTTCGAAACTCCCTCAGCCGCGAGAGGCTGCGGGACAGAGATACCGGGCTCAGAGACCGACCCCTCGGCATGGAACTGACGGGCATGGTCACGACTAAACAGTTTAAATGAAACCAAAACTTAAGTTAAATCAGCGGTCTTCGGGTTTACAGGACACCTCTGGGTTCAGTCGCTCCGACATAGGCTACACAACGTAAAGACGAATTCATAGCGTGTTGGCATAACGCGCAGACCATCATCCCGTTACACGAGGAGCCTCACCATCTCCTGCTCTCTCTTCTGAGTAGTGCGCTGTTTTCAAGCAGGTGTTTCAGCTAGCGCTATCCAAAATCATTTCAGTAAGACAATGAGGTAAGCTCTGCGTAAACGCGCGCCGTATGGTCGCCCGCTTCTTGGAAACGCACGGGATAGGTGATCCATCAAATCCGTTCACAGCCGTGACAGTCCGTTAATGAAATCTCTCACGGCTCTGAACATAGAACGTCTAAACAATAAAGCTCGTATTCAGAGGAACGCGCTTCACGTCTGTGGCGCGTATAATGCGGTTTGAGGTTCCACGACGCGTTGCAACTTCCGACTCCACTGTAATAATGTTCGCTCGAATGTTGTACAGCAGCAGCCGCAGCCTCAGCCTCAGCCTCGCGCCAGCAGTCTGTCAGTTAGATGTGTGACTGTGAGCAGGTGCTTCGGTAGAGGAGGAGACGGACTGACGTGCCGCCATATGTAGATTCAGATAGATGGATGCGGGCAATGAACTCATTCATGGAGCCATAAAAGCCAGAGTCCGTGAATGGATATAATGAGCCTACTCAATCATTATTCATATTGATACTTTTCATTGAACTCGCTTTAAGACTGAGCCTTTGCGTTCGGTTAATATGCCATTTAAGCAATGTCACGATAGGAAGAGTGCTGCTGTACTGAAGGCTCTCATCAGATATTTAGTAGGCCTACTGCTGCACCATTGTGATTGTGATGGTTTTATACAAGCTTTAGTATCCGACAACATTCGTTTCAGAAAATTTGCTAGTTTAGTTGGGATAGCCTACTATTCTCTATAAAAACAGAAGTCAAAGCTTCAAACCTCATGTATCACCAAGCAACGCGCAGACTGAAAGCAGGTCTGGAACCGAGTATGTGATTGGAGTGGAGCGACTGAGATTTTCCCTCCCTAAATCAAGGCGTTCTGTATTGAATCCGCTGAAATACCTTTCCGGGTTTTCACTCTTCTAACCTACAGAGAGAAACCCGTTCAGAGCGATCATGGGGCGAAAGAAAATGCATACGATTCAACTTTTAAAAACGCGCTCCTCGCTGCAGGCAAATTCACTCTGTGGCGATCTGTAGATAAAACACGATGTTTCGACTTAAAAAAGTTATTCACCGACCTACTCCTGCCTAAATGTCAATAAACAAGAAGAAGCTAAGCGAAACAAACACTGACCCCTTGTCCAAATACCCACACTTGCGGTCTTGGCCACTTCAGAGTGCGTGCGCGCGACAGGAAGTAAGTGACTGTCCCAGGCAAGAGTGTCTGTCTGCGGACTGCAAGACAGGGGCGTAACTTGAACAAGGAGGCGTAACTTGAAGTTGTCCAAATCACACAGAACCACGCGAGATGTCAAAACGAGATGTTGTTGGCAAGATGGCCGCTTGTATAGAGACAACGGTGAACATTTTTTTTGTTCCGAAATAACCGTTCAAATTTAAGTGTGTAGCTTTAAGGATAAAACTGGATCACATTAGCGGAGTTAAAAATATAAGAACTTAAATCAACCCAAAATGTATTGGCTATACTACAATCACAAAAAAAAGGGCAGCTGTTTCTTCAACAAGACCACAAAATGGGCAAGTTTCATCATTATCAAGATACTTACAGATAGATGAATTAAACCTGTCACTCGTATCTTTTAAGTTGTTGCGCTTGTTATAACGTCGTAGGTCACATGATAACGTCAACATAGCGGATGACATCCGAATCACATTCATACTTAACGCATTCAGGCTGTGCTTCAGGCTGTACACTCTCATAGCGCTCGGTAAGTAAGTACTTAAAGAAATTAAGTGCTTATAACTTAGAAAGTATGCGGTTTCGAACGCAGCCCGACAACATCTCGTTTTGACATCTCGCGTGGTTCTGTGTGATTTGGACAACTTCAAGTTACGCCTCCTTGTTCAAGTTACGCCTCCTTCAAGTTACGCCCCTGTCTTGAAGTCCGCAGACAGACCCTTCTCGTCCCAGGTCTTAAAAATACCAAAGTGCAGTGCCCTTAAAGGGATAGTTGATGTTTATCTGCTTACCCCCAGGGCATCCAAGATGTAGGTGACTTTGTTTCTTCAGTAGAACACAAACGAAGATTTGAAGATTTTTAACACAAACCGTTGCAGTCTGTCAGTCTTATAATGGAGGTGAATGGGAATCACGGCTAAAACAAAAAAAAAAACATACACAAACAAAACCAAAATAAACCCTGCGGCTCTTGACGACACATTGATGTGTAAAGACAAAACGATCAGTCTGTGCAAGAAACTGAACAGCATTTATATAGTTTTTTACCTCTGATTCATGCAATGTCCGAACTGTTCGAACTGTCTTCTTCTTGCTTTACGGCGGATCACAGATTTATAAGTGCATTACTGCCACCTATCTCTCAAATGGACAATTGACACTCCTAATTGAGATTGTAGATAGTGTCAATGGTCCATTTGAGAGATAGGTG